CAGATAGCCCATTGTAGAGAATTATGCTTTACAACAAACAAACACATTTTGTGTATCAAAAAAATCGGGTTTTGATACCCGCGATGGGCTGAACACAGATAGCCCATTGTAGAGAATTATGCTTTACAACAAACAAACACATTTTGTGTATCAAAAAATCGGGTTTTGATACCCGCGATGGGCTGAACGCAGATAACCCATTGTAGAGCATTGTGCTTTACAACAAACAAACACATTTTGTGTATCAAAAAAATCGGGTTTTGATACCCGCGATGGGCTGAACACAGATAGCCCATTGTAGAGCATTGTGCTTTACAACAAACAAACACATTTTGCGTATTCTGCATGTTTTGTTTATGATTCAGAAAGTAACTTACAGATAATTAGTTGAAAAGCGGCTGATAAAAAAAAGGTTTGATTTAGTTGTTGTTAAGCAGAAAGTTATAGAATGGACTATTTAAGCTTTGCCCACATGGGTATCGAAACCCGATTTTTAGCGTCGTAAGCCTTGAAGACTTAACACCGAGTCACTGGGAGGCATTATATAAAAAAAGAGAAGCATGTGATGACGTTTTGGTGCAACAGGTTCCTACGGGACCAAACATGACTTTTAAACCGTTTCCTTGCCTTATTTAAAAGCATGTCTTCTCCAAGATGAATGAAATGCATTTCTATAACCAGACTTGTGGAAAACGTGCGAGACATTGAAGAAATATATCCTTTTTTTTCCTTACAGGAATTTTAATAGTTTCTTTGTTTTCAGGATCTGTCATGCTGCGTAGCTATATTTCTTTCCTCTTTTGTTACACTTCCCTTGAAAACACATGTAACGTATATATAAATAGAACCGACAAATATTTATACAGTAAATCCAGAGACGACTAAAATGCTAGAATTTCAGATGTGGCGAATATCTTTATTTCAACAAGAATGTATCACGATCAGTCAAATACCAGATGCTTCGGTGAGGTAAGCTGGTAAAAACAAACAAGCGTTTGAGCACGTCAATTTAAGTCAACTTTGAAACACGTTGTTTGCTTGTAATATAGAACACCTCTAGGTTACAAACAGTGCTTTCTTCGACGAGTTTTGAAACAACTATTACTGTCATTGAGCTTCGAATAGCAGTCACTTTTCTGGTAACTGTATGGAATAAATCTGAATAATGATATCACGATTATTTCTGTTTTATTTTCTAATTCTAACCAAGAATTATTTATTCTGATAAAATATATGACAAGATAACTTGTTTTGTGAGCTTGTTCGTACACTATTTTTTTCGATGCAATTGTGTGTCATGTTTGTTTGTTTGTAATTAACCACAAAGCTACATAATGGGCTATCTGTACTCTGCCCATCACGGGTATCGAAACCCGGTTTATAGCGTTGTAAGTCCGCAGACAAACCACTGTGCCACTGGGAGGCCACTTGTGTCCTCCCTGTCACTAGGTTTGCCACAGTTCTTAACAGTAAGTTTGAGGGCTTATAACGCTAAAGTTCGGGACTCAATGCTCGCGATGGCCACAGCACAGATAACCCATTGTGTAGCTTTGCGCTTAAAAAAAACAGCAAGGATTTATCCTTCAGTAATACTAGTTTCTTACCAGTTTCGTCATTTTAATATAAATTATGTACCTCATTTAAGGACTGTGAATTCGAATCTGGGGTTCCGTGGTTCGCGTCTTGTTATATGAATGACGGTCAAATCCCACTATTAGCTCTATCAAGAGAAGCCCAAGAGTTTGTGGTAGATGGTGTTGTTTAGCTGCCTTCTCTCTAGCCTATCGCTTAAAAAAACTAGGAAGGACTAGTGCAGATTGTCTTCGCGTAGCTTTGCGTGAAATTTAACATAAAAACAAAAATAAGATAATTAAAAAATACACATATTTTAGAAAATTTGTATTTTCTATTTTATTAAGTCATCTTTTTATTTCAAAGTACGTGCACGATTTCTCTAATAAACTTCCAAATATAATAATTTTCACTCTTCTTTACATAATAATTAATAGAATGATGTTTTATGTTCCAGCAAGGGTGATGCCAACTCCACCTTCCATGATCTTGACATGTTGGACGAATTATTAAAGAACTATGATAGGCGGGCTCTTCCGACGAGTCATTTAGGTAGGTTCAAAAGAAATGTGTAAGGAGACATTTGGACCTTTGCAAGCTCACATTTTGTTACTAGTGTATAAACACAAATTTAATTCCATTAATTAAACCTCCATAGTCTAATTATTTTAATTACTTATTGCCAGTTCACCAAAGGAGTAGCCTAATATTTGATTTAGTAATGATATTTTATTATAATTGAATTTGAATTGAATTCGGGGTTCGATCCTTGGAGCAAAATAGTGCAGATAACTCATTAGGTAGCTTTGCGCTAAACAAGTAATAATCGAATTTGAAGAAAGGTAAAGGAAATATCTTTGTCTAAAAATGGTAGGCTTGATTAATCCAAAAAGGATTAATCAAGGCGAGTGTAAAAAAAAAATAGTCACATGAAATAACAAGATAAAACGTATATTATTTTAATATCAGGCAGACCAACTGTGGTGTCTTGTGAGATCTACATCAGGAGTTTCGGTTCCATCAACCCAGAAACTATGGTAGGCAGTTTTAACTTGTTAATTAAGTTAAATATCATACTTACCATTAGAAGTAGTCCAAATATAGGTTTAAATGTAATGGTAGTTATATATATAACCAAATAAAAAGTATGAAGAACAAATATTTATACAGTAACTTACTGAAAATAAGAGCAGTATAGCGTGGTGTAAGTTATACAAATTTAAATACAAAATACAATTGTTTCTTAGCATGAGATAAGAGACATGTTTTTTTTTAAAGTAATAAACAGTAGTGTATGGGAGCATAAACAGATAGATGGGCATACGAATCGAAAAAAAACAAAGAACAAATGAACAGGTAGATAATAGTACTAATTTCAATTAAGTAAGGTACAAATATTGCCAGGAACTTAAGAGTCACCAACAGTCTTTAAACCTCCAAGCTTTCTCAGTTGTAAATAATAACAAAAGTCACTTTAGTCAACATTATTAATGATAAATGGCCGTCATACTAGTCATCATTATTGTTAATGATAAACGGCCGTCACATTAGTCATCATTATTATTAGTGATAAACAGCCGTCACATTAGTCATCATTATTATTAATGATAAACGGCCGTCACATCAGTCAACCTTATTATTAATGATAAACGGCCGTCACATCAGTCAACATTAATATTAATGATAAACGGCCGCCACATTAGTCATCATTATTATTTATATTACAAGTGTTTCACATACAAAAAGCCATATTTCTTAGTGAAGTATTTTTAATAAAATAAAATAAAGATTTGTCCATGACTATATTGAGTATTTGTTTTCAATAGTCCGAGTGCAAAGTAATTTTTATGTTAAAATTAAAAATACTTTTCCTCATATCAAAAATCTCAAATTTCCTTTGTGTATTCCCTAAAACCCCCTAAATGCATTTGGAACGTTTTTTTTCGGTAAAACGTTATAGTTTATCTGTTATTTACTCTACCCTATCTCAAAACGGGATTGGTTAATTCGATCGACCTCGTAACCACCAAAAAAAATCGAAATAAACCTAATATAACCTTTTTTTCTTTCTA